GAAGAAAAGCTGACTTCTAGCTCTGGTATTTTTTGTGAAGGTCAAGTCCTTACTGGTGATGCTTTTTAATAGCCATGGCTATGTATTAGGCTTCAGCTACTTTAGAAAAACAGCTTTTCATGTGTATTTTTCTCTCAACAAATAACAACAACAAACAGAAAAAAAAATATAACCATGTCACCTTAGTAGTGGATTTCAGATTGATTTGCTAAGGGAAGAAATGGTCATCATTTTGAAAAGGAATTATTTATAAAGGGCGGGATTGTTACTGCCCTGTTTTCGGTTAATGGGGAGAAAGCAAGACATTCCCTTATGACCTGCTTATGTTATCCACATTACCGGTCTGCTCCTCAGAGTGGGAAATCAAGAAGAAAAAGGCATGATCAGAGATCTACTGATGTTCCCCCTTCCAAAATGTGTTGGGCAGCAGGGAGAAGCTCATTTCCAAGTGGCAAAGGCCTAGAACACGTTGCTACTTCTTGGTTCAGAACATCACCATGGTGTTAAGTTGTGGGTTTGACTCTCAGTTATTCCCTAGTCTGTCTATGGATTACACAGACAAAGAGTAAATCTTTAATCTAGCCCGTTAAAACTGATTACTCGTGCTCTGACTCAAAAAGATTTTAAATCAATAGAATCAGTAAACTTCTTGTATATCTTATTCTTCTTTCCTGTGTCTCTTTCCTGTTTAGAATCACTTAAATCTTTCTGTAAAGAATCTGAAGCAGGAACTTGCTAGACTTGAGTTTGACAGCATTAACTGGAGCTCCAAAGCAGAGAAGTATGAGGAAGAGCTATCACGCAATTTCCAACTCTGTACCACTCAAGAGGACATAAATGAGGTCAGTTAGAGAAATCCTGACATGCTAAATGTCTGTCAAAAGAGCTATTCCGTGCTATAATGTGTATTGCTATTTACCATAGCCCTAAACTTAAATGAATTGGGTGTCAGTGACATTTGCTACTTGTCACATGCCCTGCATAGCTGATTTGTGAAGTATAAATCATATATGAGATTGTCACAGTTGATRAAAATCCACTGCAAAATAATTGTAAAGCTTATTTTCCATTTTGGTAGCAATTATGGTGTTTTATTGCATTTTAATTTGGAAATGTCGTCTTGTCTGACTAGGTTTAATACCTTTCAGAGCTAATTGTTGAGCAATATAACTGAAATAATACTGAATTGTCCTGTGGTATGTTTTTATTTAGTTAGATACTATTTTTGCTATAAGTTAGTATTGAACATGTTTCCTAAACAAACACTAATATATCTGTATATGCATTAATCTGTATATATGCTGCTATTTTTCTTCCACGAGTATTTATAATTAATTCTATTAAGAGATCAAGAAACTAGATGATCAACTAGTTCAAAAATGCTGAAGTTATAAGTAAATTTGCTTCAATATTTTTTAATTCTGTTAATTTTAACAATTTTAATGTGTTAGTTTTAACAATTTTAATTAKTCTGACAGTATTGTGAATATCAAGCAGACCTGTCTTAAATAACAATTCCTTTACCATCTGTCAGGTCTAAGCAAATAATTATTTCACTTTCTGTGTGAGCAGAAAGGAGCAGCTGTTAGTGTCTGTCAGAGCCTGAAGAGCCAACCAGGTGGTTTAGTTGTGGTTAACCGGGGCACAAACCAAATTTTAAAGCTGGGGGAAGATACTTGAAATTCTACCGCAACTGCTTAAATTCCACTATGTATAATATGGTGGCTTTAAAATATAAGTAAAGCATATGAGTCAGGGTTGTTGGGGAATATGACTCAGTGGTGCCTGAAAATACCATGCTGTGATCACAAGCTAGCTATGTCACAAATACATTAGTGTTACTTTAAGCAGTAAGGAAGCAAATACTTACGTTTATAGCAAAGTAGTATCTGGTATGWGTTTTGAAATAGTCTTGAAGGACCAAAGAGTAAAATATGTATTTTTGTGAGTCTGCTCAAAGAGAAATTGCAGAAGCAAGAAAGGACTTATGCCTGCCCTCTAAATCTTTGTAAACTATAAGGAAAGTTCATATGACATTTGAGATTACCAGTGTGGGCTTCCTGCCTCACTAACTAGATTGGATAACAGCTTGTGAAGAGCTGCAGCTCATCACTGCCCCGCAGTCGTTTGTAGCACAGTTTATAGCTTTGTGATAGAGCTGAGTCAGTCCAGTAAAACTTGACATTTCTGCATGCCTGCATGTAACCTGCAACAGAAGAGTAACAGACCCTGAGCTCTTAGCGCTCTCCCTGGTCACGTCCTTTATTAAAGCCTGAAAATGTGGATTTCAAGTGCAGAGGATACTGACCTTTTGTGGTTCACAGATCAGCAGAAATTGATAATTCACAGAATATATCTCATCATTACAAATGGTGATGTGCTCTTTGATGAGCACAAAATTCATGACCACTAATAAACTGAGTAACTTTTTTTTTCCCTCCTGCTTTCTGGCTGACTTTAATGTTTGTCCCTTTGAACAGCTATTTTTAGTCACCCTACTTTTATGAGCTTTTTTAATTACTAGAGTTACTACAAGTTTTTGTGGGCATAAAAAGGAAGAGGTGCTTAACATCGCTGAAGTACCTTCAAAAAGTTTCACAGAGGAATTGAAGTATTACTGAAGCTTTAGTATTAATACAAATATTTCAAAAGCAGATTTGTATCTTTTTTTTTTCCTCATTTATTCTCTGCTTCTTGTGTGATAAATCTCAGCAATTGACATCCAGCTCCCCCTCCTGCCTGTGGGTCCCCACCCCTGCCAGGCCAGCCATAGCTGGGAACAGCTGCCTGATTAATTGCTCTGACACAATGGACAAGTTGCACACTTCCATCAGGCTGCTGGGCTGAAGTCTCTCAAGTATCAGGATGTATAGTTTCTTTAGCATTTCTCATTCCATTTTTCAAGGAATGAGGAAAAGCTGAGCTATGTTAAGTTTTTTCTAAATATTAAGAGTCTTTTACTCTTCTTAGTACAATTGCTGGTGTTGAAAAGGATTTCTGCGTATATGTGCTGTGAGGGGATCAACTGAATCAAGTCTGAGTTGAATCTGGYTTTCCACTGAGGCTAGAAGAGTGACAGCAGCTGCAGACCTTTGACATACGAGCCATCGTGTCTGAAACAAGGCGATCTGATATCGTGTACTGCTCTGAGRAGAGCCTCTGGCCTTATAAATGATCCCTAACAAATGTACATGCATTAATAAACATACATAATAAACTAAAATAAACTTACTCATCTCTTGTTTTCCTCAAATAAACCAGCAAATAAAACCTCTGTATTCTGAGCACAAAATACCRTTCTACAGAATGCTGTCAGATAGATTTTTATTATTCTGTATCCTTAGATGGGATAAAAAGCTTAAACTAATTGGAGATCACAAAGCTGGTGAGAGAATTCCCTTCTTTCTCATGACACTGAGTGAATGCCATCTGTCTGTCCGTTGCTGAAATCATGGGTAGATGAAATGAAAATGAAAAATATATCCCTCAATGCATAAGCATTAGTATGTAGTAATACTACAACTACTACTAATGATTATTAGCTGTTCCACTAGCAATAGTTACAAAAGGAGCATTCATTACTCCCTAGGTTTGGAAAAAATATCTTTATGACTCTGATATTCAAAACAAAACCCTCAAATATGTTAAGTTAAATATCAAGTTGCAGGTATGACCTAAACATATCAACACTAATCAAATAAGTAGACTTACTTTCATTGTATGTGTCTGGAGAAATGGACTGTAAAGCATTTTGAATGATATATTTCTCTTATATTGCTTCCTTTAATGTAAATCAGCATAATTTATTGTACACATAGAATACATAATTCTCATATTGGAGGCATTTAAAAACAACTTTAATATATAAAAAGATATATTTGCATTTCAAAAAAATTGACTTGCAGATGAAAAATATTGAAATAACATAGTATTTTATACCCAGTAAAAGTTCATAAAACCTTAAGAATAATTTAACTGTGCATTTGGTATGCTTATTTATAGCACATGACTTACATAAAGACTGAAATGACTAAGTACATAGAAGTAAAAATGTAACAACTATGCAGTATAACTCATTTTCATGGTGTATATAAACATAGAAAAATTCTCTATCAAATCTAATGTAACTAAATTTAACATTGATTTTCTCAGCTGGTGTAGGTCCGCCTAAGAATCTTGAAATGTGTAAATTCTCCAAAATTGCAACTAATGGGTCACCTTAAACTATATCACAATGAGAGTCATTTTCTCTACCGTTGTTTGCATCACCAGGCAGTACTGACTGGTAACAGTACTCGTTGAGTACACAATTTATGTAGCTGTAGTTAAATTACTTTTTTTTGAGTATTTGTTAACCAGAACTTCTCTAATATGCCACCATACTCAGAAAATCATTATTTTAAATACAAATACTCATATATTCTACATCTTGATCCTGAAAAGAGCTGAATTCCTCTTTGCTTGCTGCAAATAATCCTACTGAGATGTTTTGACTATAACAGTGTATAAAATTAAGGTCAAGTGTAACTTTCATAACAAGGGCTTCCAATATTATTCCTTTGCTAATTAATATTATTTCCCTTCAGCTTATTTCCTGTTCATTAACATTGTTGCAGAGCAATCCGTAGCTTTTACTATGATTATAGAATCATGGAATGTAATTTAGGTCAGAGAGGACCTCATCTACCCTTAAAATAAATTCTGACAAATATGAACTTTCTTCTCCCCTTCAAATGGTTCTTGAGGAGTAGTTCACAATATAATGATAAATTCCTATTTGAACCTCCCAACTCTACCCCAAAAAAGTGATATAAACTAAATATAGAAGAAGGATACTTGCAAAAAAAATCAGTTCTACATGTCCAAAGCTAGATAGATTATTTTTCTGGAAGGTAAGCATGGGTAGCCATTTCCATGGCTATCATTTTTCACTGTTGAAATACATACAGTATCTGAAGATTGTGTTCTGCCTGTAGTTAAAAGCAATGGGAACCTAAAGGGAGTTTTTACGCAGAATCTCTGAACAAGTATCTAATCATATTTTATCTCACTTTTTTGCACCAGCTGTTCTAAAAACAAAGCTTAGTAATCAGAGCAAATACAGATCCTTACGTGACTGCTGTCCTCTTGCTATAGATGTGTTGCCTGTAGTCATATAGTCAACTGTAATCTTGCAGAAACAAATTGTGCTACCATATATTTTCAGTTATTTATAACCAGTTATTTAATTAGTTAATATTGATTCTGAAAGGTTATGAGTTTCCAGTGTTGTTAATAAATTGAGACATTAAGGATACTTAATGATATGCTTTACAGTGTCACTAATTTCTATATCAAATTCTCAGCGTTTACATTGTTGCCTTTTMAATTTCTCTTGAGAAAAGCTATAGTAACGTGTGCTTTTTTACTGAAAAATATGCTCGCTCTATTTCAGCTCAGAGAATCATTTAAGGATCTTAAAAAGAAATTCAACAATTTGAAGTTTAACTATACTAAGAAAACTGAAAGAGCTCGAAACTTGAAAGTACTTAAAATACAGATTCAGCAAGTTGTTATGTGTGCTGAGAAAATACAGGTAATATTAGAAATCTTAGTTTTGATGAAAACTTCATGTGTTAAAGTATTTTGACCTATGCTAAGTAGATGATATGAGATGCAAAGTATATTGTGAGTCTCCCTGTCAATCCTTGTGATCTCCTTTTTCTGTCTTGTCTGTCAAAATCAGTCAGATTTTGATTATTTCCAAGGATGGAGACTTCACAGCCTCTCTAGGAAACCTGTTCTAGTTTGTCAGTGATACTACTTGCATCAAATCTTAAACCATATGTCAATACTGGAGGATATAAATGTCTACGGTGCTTAAGTGAACCTGAATTTTGTCTTAATAGGCTTAGCAATACTTTTTTTCCTGTGCGGATTCAATGAAAGGTTTGTTCAACCTTAAGGTCTTATGTCTTATTAATGCAGATATTTATTTATAAGCTGAGCGCTTAACTCATTTCCATCTTTAACAGGTATAGTTTATACTTTGTTTCTAGAAACAAATATTTTTGTTAAAATATTTAATATTGCTACATCTTTCAAACAGATTCTTACAAAGAAGATGGATAATTTAGAGACGAAAGTCATTGATTCTGTGGCAAACCAACCTAACGCTAAAGGCAAAGCCCTCTTAGGATCAGTCAGTGAGTTACAAAAACAGCTGAGTGACTTTGGCCAAGTTGTGCAGGATTACAAGCAAAATCTGGATCTCGTGGAGCATCTGCAACAGATGATGGAAGAGGTACTAGTAAACCTGAGAATTCCACTGTGGCTGTAGTAAGGAGCTAAGGCTGTGCTAGATAAAAGTGCTTATAACTACCTCAGGCAAAATATGTGGCTTTCAAAAGTAGCAGCTTAGTGAAAATCTGGATTTTCTTCAACTTTTTCTTTACGATTTTGTAGAGAAAGGGGAAAAGGCAAATAACTTTACCATATTTTTGCCCGGCTACATGTAAGAATGTGTTCTCCACCTCCATATGGTATTCATAGTGATTCAACATATTAATCTTCATACTTCTGAGCACTTTTTTTTTTTTTTTGCAAACGTGTTCTGGGGTAACACAAGTGCTGCAAGGGCTTCTTTGGTAGCTGTCAAATCACAAGATCCAGGTCACCACAAGTCCCTCTTTACTAGTTGTTAGCAAGAGCTCTCTGTGTGGTACATAAAGTCAGAAATGAAATGCAAAATATTCAATTCCTTAACAAGCAGCATATAAAATACCGTAATTTCTGTGTGGTATATTTTTACTGAAGGTGCAGTCTGTTTAAGTCTTTCTCCAGCTTTATTTTAATATATCCAAGGACTGCCTCATGCATTGTTTAAAAAAAAAAAAAAAAAAGAGAGAGAGAGGAAGAAAGCCTTAAAGCAGTATTATCTCTTGCCCTCTTTTGTTGGTGCATCTGTTGTGAGTCAAGCACATTCCTATCATCGTTGTTTATTTTTAGAATTAATTCTGTTCAGATTTCCAGAGTGATCTGAAGACATGATGGGTGAATTCCCTTAATGATAGATCATAACACTATATTTTGGTCTAAAGCTACCAGTGTTCAGTGATCTGAAAAATGTACCATTTCATATATTATTAGCAAAATAATTTAACGGCTGTACATTAACTTTTATAATCTATCCATAGCTAAACTTTCAACTGTTGACTTACTTTAGAAGTATAAAAAGGTACCTTTTACTCAGTAATTTTCTTTCATGGGATAGGCCCAGTTTTAAACAGTAATTTTAATGATGATTAAAAATTGTGACTATTAGTTGCTTGCCATAAAGTGCAATACTGATAATGCTGAAATGAATACCAGATTCTGTCATATTCTGTCCTATTGCTAAGCAAAAGTGATTATTAAGAGTATGTTCTAAAGCCCATTCTTGTCTGCAGAAGGACTCTCAACAACTTTAATGTTTGCTGAAAATAAACCCTGTTTCCCAGTAGAGTAGACCTAATCAATCTTTCCTCCTTTATACAGGTAAAGCTGTGGCCAGGATATGAGGTCTGGGGAATTAGCCAGCTGATATTTGAGATGGAAAGAACTCAGAGATGTGTATTTGCAGAAGCATTAACTGATAAAGAACATCACCGTACTTGTATAACAAGCACGGTACTAACATTTAAAGAAAATGCAGCAGCTATTAATGTTCCAAAGAATATTGGTAATGAACAAATGTTTTGCAGGTTAAGTTGTTACAGGAAGATTTAGAGTGCAGCATGTCATTAATTATTGAAAGTTGAAAGAGTAGTTATGTCCATACTAGAAAAGCTTGAACTCCTGTATACTTGTTTGTATGCATACGCATTCTCTTTATATATTATTCTATATTGATATTATATTATTCTATTATGAAGTATAATATAATTTTTAATGTAGTGTTTCTATTCTTCCAAATGCACCTCAGTGTCAATTTTGGTTTGAAGATRCGAGTGCAACAGTAGTTAGAGTTCACAAGTATTCTTCAGAGTGTAAAACAAGAGAAGCAATAGAGTCTCTCTACAAGCAATTCAATAAGTTTATTCAGCCCGCAGTGCCTCAACAGGAAGAAAAAATTCTGGAGATTATGGAGCTTGCTAAACGATTATATGGTGAGGAGCTATGTGGTAATGTAATGTGTAAAAAGCATAATAGTTTAGGATAGGAGCAAGCAGATTTCCTATTTATTTAAGAAGAAAACACCATGAAAAATCAAATGTTGAGGATTGACTGGAGAGCTGAAATATTTCAGAATAATTATTAAAAATACAAATATTAAAATACTGGAAAGCTGGTAGTTGTTGCGCTTTTTGAGTTCACCTGGAAATCTAAGCATGGATGTCCTTGTAATATTTATGAGTTTGGAAATAAGACTTCATGGCTTGTGCTRTTTCCTGACAGGAAAGCCTTTGAATTCAAAGTATATTACCATGCTACTCTCCCTGCTGTGTGAGTGAGCCCTGAGTTACAATTACACTACYATTACCTACTGATATTTGATCATTAATTTAAGTATTATTTTAACACAAAATATGGACTGTTCCGTAAATACTTTATTTGCAATTGCCTTGTTTTGAAACATTACTGACCAATGAGACTTGAGGTCAACAAATTTGAAGATCTGTGGTTTTCCTGCTTGCCGTGTTCATGTACTTGTTGAAGTTGCTTAATCCAAAGGTAAAGTATCTATACAAATGGGCAAGGATGTTGTAGCCTATAAAGAAAAGTAGTAAATCTGATGAAATGTCACCAAAGTCGAACAGGACTTTTAAGTTCCTCTAATTTAATGTCAAAAGCCTATTTAAAGAATGCTGATGGTACTTACTTTTCTATCTTTTGAATATTTAAAACATTCCTGTTTAAAAAAAAAAAAAGGAGCTGGGAGAGTGGATTCCTGACACCAGCTCATTAGGAAGTGTAAGAGAGAGAAGTTGCTTTGTGTTCTTTAAATTTTTGCATGGAAAAATGCTTCCCCGTTCCACTACTTTTGCAGAAACTATGAAGGTCCATCTCAACTAAGGTAATAATAGGTAGAAAAGCATATTTGTTCTGTATCATAAAACTCCTTCAGCAAAACTAAACTTAGATTAATATTATTGTAGTATTGTGGGATTAGAAATTGCATTAACTGCTAAACRTCTATTTGAGATATTCTGTGTTGTTGCTATTTTCCCTTTGCAGGTATTGAAGAAGGAAAAAAATATGCTGAAAAGACTATATCGAAGTACAGAGAAGTTCTTAATTCTATTGATGAGTTATGTAGATCTCTGGGAGAACTTAAGGAAATTCAGGTATTTTTCCTGGGAATTATCACTACTGTGATGTTCTCTGAAATCTCTTGATTTTGAACGACAATTTTGAAAAATTTCTGAAGACTTCATAAACTACTGTATGCTTTTCCAGATTTCTGCTATATTTGTACTTGTTTGTAAGAAGTTGTGCAGTCTTTGAGATTTAAGTTAGGCCTAAGTATTAGCCAAAAAGAACGAGATGGTATAAAGTAGCTGATCATTTGATCAGCTACTTGAAGTAGCTGATGAAAGCTGAGTTAACTCAAATCACAATGAATATGAATTATCCCTCTGGAAAATAGAGGGATGGAGTAAAAGGCCGATGAAAATTGATATTCCAGCTGCTTGTTTTATGCGTAAAAGACCTTAGACAGATTTGAACATTCTAGGGATTCCAGAGTGATTCTTTCCTCTGCAGACCTGACCTTCCAAAATGTCTTTCTGGAGGATTATTTTTCCTTATCCTCATTTTTTCTAGTAGTTTGACTCCTAATCCTTTATTTTCCTTTAGTTATTCTTGATACAAATTTGTTTAATATCCTCAGATTCTTGRCCAACTGTTTGACTTAGTCTGTGGTATCCTATGTTTTCCTCATCTCAGAGAAGTTCTCTTCAGCTTTGAAAAAATGAGTCTTTGCTTATCCTGAAATGAATAAGATTTGCTGAGTATATCTGCCATAAGAAATTTACACCACTTCTGGTATTTTTAGAGATTAGATTTCACTTTTTTTTTAATCCTATGTTGTTCAGAATGTAACACAGTTTATTAATTACCAATTACTTATAGTTATTAACAATAACTACCTTATTTAATTTCCTTTTTTACATGACAGAAATGTGAATTTGCTGAAGAGTTGGCTGCAGTACAAAAAGCAGAAACAGGAAATGATCAAGATGCATGTACGGATACTACTGAAGACAAAGTAGGRGAACAAAGGCAAAAGGTTAGTTATATTTTCTGGACCAGAAATCTGTTTCTTAAAAGACTGGTATGCTGTTGAAGATGCTTGCTTTTTAGTCTAGAGCCGCCCTTAAGATTGGTGTCATTGRTGTACTCATTTATCTTCTTTTCCTCTCTCCTTTTTAGTCCCCGCTTTACCTCCCAACCAAACTCCATGTTCTTCCTGTCTCCTTTCATTGTTTCAGCCTTCCTTTTACTGAACTTTATGTGGAGTAGGCTGTGGATGGATGATGAGATCGATGATTGTCTCTGAAAGTAGTTTTCYGTTTTAGTCACTAAACTATTGTTGCTGTTCTCCATTCTCTTCCTCACCTATATGTCATCTTGCATGGCACTGTATTTCCTTTTTTTTCATAYACATACCAGTATTCCTTTTGGCTTGTTACCATAGTATTTCTAATATAACCATCCTGAATGCAACCATTCCTCCTTCTCCTAAAGGAAAGCAGACTTTGCTCTCTCCTTTCCAATCAGACTTACTGGACATGGAATGTAATAACAGGAACTACTGTCACTATTTCGCAGAACACAGAATTTTTGTTTTTCCCTGAGGGACAAGATATAAATTCAGTAGAATTATAAGTGCTTCCCTCAGAGCTCAGAATTTGAGCTAAGAAATGGTAGGCAGGAATTTTTTTTTTTTTCTCTGGTCAATTATTAAATTCTTCATCAGGAAAACGTTAACATTTAACATTTTTCTTTCAGGTTAGATCAGATATTTTACACTTGAATTCAGAAAGCATTACAGAGAAGAAAAACTATACTCGTTCTCCTTCTGGGAACACTAAACAGGTATCTGCTGTTCATTTTGATAGTCACTCTTTTTAAAAAATAAATTGGTAGTTGTTCTTGTATACTCTCAAAAGAATTTTACCTCTCAATCCACTGCTGCTCCGAAATGACTGATTGATCTGCAGAAATTCAGCAAATGTTAACATCCTTTCATTTAAACAGAGAAGGTTCTCCTCTCTGTGTTGAGCCACCACATTATCTCGAGTCTAAGTCAGTGAGAGTTTCACTATTGACTTTAATTTTTGTGAGTGTTCCAAAAGCCCTCAGGTGCCTCACCCAACATAAGACTGTACCCATGTTTTGTATTTTGCTAGGCCACAGTGTTGTCAGTCCTTGCCAGACTGTGCCTCAGCTGCCAAGGAGAGAAGTCAAGGGAATGTGAAACCTCAGATGTGAGGTATGGCAGCTAGGATACTTCTCTACCCTTTTCATCACTCCATACTTCACTTACAGAAGTAGCAGGTTCTTATCACTGGGGCTTTTGTCTTCCATTTCCATCCCTTTTGAGAAAAGGCCTAGCATAGCCTCTCATTCAGGGTTAGCAATATCTAGCTCAAGGCTAGTAGTACTCAGTTTTGCATATGCTTTTGAGAAATTGCAAGAGAGGTTTCTTGTATTAGTTTGTTTCAGTGAGAACTATCACACAATCTAGATCTTATCATGGTGCATTCATCATCATGCTCCTTTGATCCCAGGTGACATAACAGGGCTGAAGGTCCTCCTGGTGGCCAGGCTTGTCTGACAGCATGCCCCTCATCTTCCCCACTGCAAAGGATTTTCCCCAGTTCATTTTCCAGCAATCTCTGGAATAATTACATTCTATTTTTAATGAAAAAAAATGAATACACACAGTAAAGAATAAGTAACACTCCGTAGATATTGTGGTTTCTTTGAGCAATTGGAAAAGAAGTTGGTCAAATATTTCACCAAATTGGAAAGTGGATTATTACTTATCTCATTTATACCTATGATATATTCAATTTGAGAGACATTTGGGGATAAGACTTCATTGGGAAATTTTGTAGAAAGGAGTTTAATATCCAATATTGAAGGTGATTTTACTGCTGAATTAAGTGATTTAGACAAAGGGTATGCAGTAAAATTCTAGCTTTCTTGTTTATCAGTAGGTCTGGCATKGCACACATAGCTTTGTAATAACACAGATATTAAGCTAAAAAAAAAAGGAAGGTACTTATCTGCTTCTATATTAAAACTATCATCTATWATTACCTTTTAGTTTTGTTTACTTTGTGTTTGGATTCAGTTGCATTTAGAGCAATAACGCAAAAATAGAGGCCTGATGAATGTGCCAGTATAYTTTTGTGATGGGTATTGCCAGTTGTATGTGGTTCTGAGAGCAATGATTTCCTGAATATCACCTGGTTGATTTGGTGCGGCTATAGGTGATAGAGGCTTTGCCTACTAGATTAAGATTTTTTGTGTAGAACTTAACAAGAATAGAATTCCATAAGTAAACATTTTGAACACCTTTGTGAAGTAAGGATGAATATGTGAGTATATAAGAGGCACAGAACTAATTAATACCAGATAATAAACCAGATAAGGTCTTGTTGCTTTGCTGTTGAAATTAATGAGCTCCTGTGCCATGAACACTCATTCTGAAATAAATGTGTGCTTTTTTTTTTTTTAGTATCAAAGCTAATAAAAATAATTTTAACAGGCAAGATCTTGAAACAACTGACACAGGAGGAAAAATGTAAAATGGTTGGAAAATATCTGAAAGATACTGATTTAACACCATAAATTTGAAATGTAACTAGTGATCCTCTTTCTTTAAGAATCAAAATTGCAATAGCTTGATTCTTAAGTTTATATTGTTGTGTATCTGCTTCCCATCAGATGTAATTATGCCATCTCTTCCCCCTATCCTCCTAATTACAAGTAAACAGCACTTAGAGGAAATATATCCACAGGCTCTTACTGTTTAGGAAAGAGGATACTTTACACTTTGTTTTTACTATTATAATAATCAGTATCTAAGTACTTGTACTATAATTTCTGTCAGTCTATTGAGATATTTGACATTYCAGTTATATATTGCATGTTAATGATGGTTGTTTTCTAGATATTTCCTCCTGCTTCTCAGAACTGATTAATTTGGCTTAATTTAAAGAAATTTTTCTAATACTGTTGCTATCTTTTGCATGAATTGTTGATTGGTATATTGATAACTCCTCTCTCCTTTTTTTTTTCCTTTCCTCCACTTCTCTTCTTTCCMCTTCTAATTCAAGGAAAGGAATAAACTGGCCAGTATTCCAGTTATCTGCCCAGCTGGTGAGGATTTTGTTTCACAGGATACAGAGCTGTCATCTTCAGCCAAAGAGGATAGTTTACAGACTGAGTTCCTGACAGAAGAAATACCCTCTGGAGATGAATATGAGTGTATATCACCTGATGATATCTCTTTGCCACCACTTTCCGAGACACCAGAATCCAACGTCTTGCATTCTGAAACAGAGCTGGAAGAGCAGTGCTGCTGTAGTACTCATAGCCTGCTCCTGTCAGCTCCTGTCAGCTCCTATAGCTTGCACATGCACAAAGATGTTAGCTGTAAAAAAGGTGCTGAAGCGTCTGATCTCTTAACAAATTCTGCTTATGCTGATGCTACAAACAATAGAATGGAGAGCCCATCAGATCAGCTTGAGAAATGTTGTATGTCTTCAATAGATTCTTTTCCCAAAGTCAGAGGGGAATCTCCTCTGACTCACTGCTCACAAGAAATACCTGAAGCTAGCGCTGCTTCCTGCACAATAAATGCCAAACCAGCACATAGCGTGATAAGTGAAATGTGCGAAACTCACCTGAAATACCTTGAACAACACCATAACAAAAGCATGTCAGAAACACAAGAACAATTGCATGACTTTAATAACTTTACTAAACCCCAGGATGGGCTGCATGCTTTGCCTGATGCATTCTCAGGTTTCGTGTTTCAATCAGACACCAGCAGAAGCTGTCAGAGGCAGATGGTCACCCGAGAAGAGATTAGAAGTGCATCAGAAAAGAACAGCATGGCCAGCCTTTCTGGACAGGCGCCTAACTTCTCCCAGCTTCTGTCTAACATAACCGTCATGGAAGGTTCTCCGGTAACTTTGGAAGTAGAAGTAACAGGATTCCCAGAGCCTAAACTGACATGGTGGGTAGCTTATAATAAGAAGAACTAAATATACCTACAAGTAAGACAAATTGAATGACATATAACTAAATTAATCTATACATTAGAATAATTGACTTGAGTCCTTTTACTATCCACACATCTGCATGGCTCTCACTTTAAAAGTTTTGACAATTAACCTATTTGAAATAATCTCTCTGCACTTAATTTCATGAATAATTGAAGTATCAAGCCATTGTAAGCATATCAACTAAATCAAATTTCTTAAATACAGCATATACTTTTTATGTTCATTCTTACTGACATTCCTTATCTCTAACAATTTGTCAGAAAATGTCCACTCCAGATTTACTGTATATGAATTCCTCTGCATTGTCTCAGCAACTTGTATATTTCTATGTATAACACACAAATATGTATTTATAGCCACTACATACACACACATGCACACATATAAGAGTTACCAAAAACTGGAGAGGTGTTATATGTATAAAATTCCTAAATGTCTGTACTAGAGCACTAGTTTTGTATTATATATTTTCCTCTCTCTCTCTTTTTGAATTGCCTAATGTCCTGTGAGAATGCTTTATACTCTCTTTGCTAGAGATGTAATATAAATACATTTTAAGATGACTTTTCAAAAATCCTCTGCCTATTTCAGTCTCTGAAATAGAGACACTGAATAGTCTCTGAATAGAGACTGAAATAGCAGTGGAATTTCAGCATTAGTCCTCTGTGTGCTGACATATTTTGATTAAATTTTATTTCACTTGCTGTATTCTCATCTTTCCCAGCAGAAGCCTTTCTTTTCAATATATTACATTGAGATAATATATTCCTCCTAATATATTTCCTGTCACATTGCTGTATGCTTTCTGAACCAAGTAAATGAGGGGAATACTTTATGTATYTGAAGACAGATTCAGAGAGTTTTATATGTTGCTTGTTTTATATTTTGCTTGTTCATCTTAAGACCCTATTCCCATGGGATGAAAATGGATTAATTCAACACCTTATTAGAAAAAAACATTGTTTCAATGCAAAACTGAGGGTCCAATCCTTTATTCTACTGAGGGTCYAGTACTGAACACAGTCACACACAACTGTGACTTTCCCACTTCCCCATGAAGGACCATTTTCAGAACCACRGGACTTGCATTTTCTAGTATGAAGAATATATTATCCAGCAATTTAAGTCATTTAAAAATACATGCATATTGTAATTGTTTTAAAATAGGGATGAGGACACTGTAACTAACTCCATCTCTTACTGTCAAGTTAGTGTTATAGAGATTGTCTGAATTGGGGAAGTTCTGCTTAGCATGTAGTGATATAAATCTGACTTGAAAACTGCCTCTCTGCTTCAGGTACAAGAAGGGCCAGAAACTGACTGCAGATGGGCACTTAAAGCTTTTACAAAAGGAGACAAGGCACATGTTGTTCATTCAGAAGGTGTGTGATAAAGATGCTGGCCTCTATGTTGTTCGGGCTAAAAATTCTAGTGGTACTGTCTCATCAAGTGCCATTCTCCATGTGCAAGGTAACAGGCCACCTATCACAAGAATAGACTGGATAACGCTGTGTGTCATCTATATTAGCATATCACTAATGTACTGGCTATTCACTTAAATACAGTATTGACTGCACTGGATTTAACTTGACAACCTGAAATTGAGCATCTTACTGCATCTTTCACAAACTGTACCAAACTGCTTTTATGTCACCCTTGATATTTTGCTTGTTTCTTAATACCAGTATTATGTTTGTTTTYCTTTGTCATAGTGATGTGTAGATAAAAAGTCAAAAATATTTTCTRGGATCTGAGGCAGAGTACTGTATTTAAAAATTTTGACATTAAAAGAATTGAGAACAGTTTTAATGTTTATAGGCATCACATGTTAAAATGAAGATGTATGGGATCAGTGTATATTTCAGAGCAATGGGTATTTTAGAATATACTTACGATTTTGAGGAGAATGAAATTTTTTGAACACCATATGTGTTATTTGTTCAATGCCATTTTTCTCATACACATTTTAAATAGTTTTCTTTCTGGGATAAGGCTCCTTAGACAATCATAACATGCATGATTGCACTAGCATAAAACTACATCAGAAAAATGCAGATAGTCTTAACAGATGAAAGCTCCAGCACTTCTAATAGGGATATACCTGCCTGCACTGGGAGAATTTGACCAAGAATTGTCAGCATTTGTGTAAGTAATCTGCTTAGCATACAGTAGATTAAAATCCCAAAATGTCTACAAAATAAGGCTTTTCAACGTACCTGTCTACCTGCTGCTTATGTTGKTAGTAATTCTTGTGATACTTTCTCTGCCTTCTTATAAAATATATCAATATTTCAAATATTTCAAATTACTAAATCGTTAATGTGAAGAAAAGTATTAGCTTAAGTGAGCATCTGTGCACATTTAAAATTTCAAACAATTAATTGAAGAAATACTCAGAAGAATAATGCACRCCCACATCAAGTAAAGATTGATAAAACCAAAATATCTGTGCCAATATAAACTTCATTTAAAGATCYTCAAATGTAACCTTTAATTTCTCCTTTATCTCTAGTGCTTGTTCTATTTGCACAACAATTGACAAACTGCATCATATTGCTTGCATATCYGATTTGCAGCATTCATTTTATACATCTGTACAGAAAACTTATATTGAGGAAATATTTACTATCTCTTGCAAAATTTGCAGACAGGAAATAAGCCTTTTACTGCACTGCATACTCTGAGCAGAATATATATTGCAGGAGGTCAGTGAGGGACGGGACTGGACTGACAGTTGGATATTTTGGCTCAGTGACTGCAACTTTATTAAAATTCCTGTAACTTTGAAACAGGAGATGTCCACAAGGCAATAGGAGAGGGAGGAGGAGGTGGTGAGCAGATGGGGGCAAAGTAAACTCTATCTAGAATTGCTCTTTTAGATAGGGGTGATAACTTTCAGAGTCCAGTCATGTCAAAGTGTTTATCCATAAAAAGTCTCCCCAAATGGATCTTTCCATTTCACAAAAAAGTTAATTTTAATAGTTACCATTTTGAATATTAAATTTTCCTGAAAGTAAAATTCAATTTAGTATTTTTATGTCATTATGACTTTATATACTTTTTGTAGTTTTTATAGACAGCAGAGAATCTGTATGAGCAACTTGACTTGCATAAGCATTTTCTTAAGCAGTGTTGTGTTAAGAACATCCCAAATGCCCTTTGGATATGGTATGTAAGGTTCTGCTTACTGCAGAGCTGCCGGTGCTTAATATCCTGAACCCATTAATAATGCACAGGCAGCAGCTGGCAAGTAGATCTGTGATTGGTARGTGAAACAGTAGTCTAATTTAATGCTAGTTAGTTTTGTAGTTTATATTAGTTTTTGTGATCAGGGAATCAGAAGTTACATAATACCGAGATTCAGACTGTCAACATGGTGACCTGACCTCCAACATTCTTCCCGACAGACTGGAAATTATAGCTGTTTAGTATTCTTCATTTCCCTTAGGGATGTTAGCAGACTCATTGAGCCTTGCAGGCAACCAATGCTCTTAAACCTTCTGTTTTTATTCTGAGCTGCAACTCTGTCAAAAGCCAATTATTCAAAAGTTAGAAGTTTTTGTGGACATTTTTTAAAATTGTTTTCTGCCTTTTTTTTTTTTTTTTTTTGAAATTGGAATTGGAAAGTAGCTTGGATCTAGACTAGTAATTGGACCTAACCAGCTCTATAATAACCAGCTCTATAAATTAGAGAGGCAAATAGACAGAATTACCGGAGCATTGTATACAAATCAGAGTAATAAAATAATTCCTTTCCCTGCCAACACTTTCCAATTTGCGACCTAGAATTTGCTGAGCAAGGTATTGCATTTAATTTAATTGCAGATAGTTTTAAATGTACAGCTTTTAATAGGTATGGAGAAATCAAGCACGTTTTTTAATAGCTGTAGCAAGCAAGTTTTTTTATTTAAAGATGGTATTAGAGAGGGAGAGATTACAGATATTGGCARTACAGTAGGATACTGAAAGGTTCTGGGCTGTAATGCTTGCCTTTATAGAGAAATGTGTAATGAATATTGATTACTGYTAGATTGGCAATCTGGATTCTTTTATGTGTATTGATACAGTGAATGAAAATGAGTTCCGAAAATGTTCTGATGGAAAATTGTTGCTCTTTTCAGCTCAGATTATCTAAAACAGTGGCAATTATGTCCTCTATGCTATACTAATATTTGTATGACAGAAAGGCATGCTCACTCACTCTTCAGCAACAAGGTCAAAGTCAAGTTTTTTGCTTTCAGTGTCTTTTTTTATAGTTAATGTTCTGCAAGCTTCAGTTCCTCCTTCACTCTGCAGAAACRGGGAATACACAGGGGTTGCTTTTGCTCTGGTTCTGCAGCTTTGCCCTTTGTTTTACTATACTCAGCTCCCTCTAATCATGGTCACATGATCTACCTTTAAGGATTTGGAGACCCCAAAATATTTACAGCTCTTTCTGCTCATTTGAAAAGCAGATTTAAATATCAGTCTCCCCAATTTTAATGCAGCAGTTTTATCCTTAACCATATTACAAATGTAGCCTCGCTTCCTACTTCCCTGTATGCAGGTTAATAAAGTAAGTGGTGAGCAATACTGCTTGACTGCAAGAAAGTTTTTTTTGGTGGGGTTTTTTTTTTTTTTTTCCTATTCACCTAAAGAAGCAGCCTGACTGTGGGCCCAGCTGTGAGTATTTAGGCAAATGCAGGCAAAGGCTTTTGGTTGATTAGCTAGGGATAAAATGTAGCTGGAGCTGCAATGGAGAAGGTGGCTTTCTCTCAAATGTTTGCTAAAGTGTGCCTATTTTGCTACCCTGATCTGGACGCATTGCTTGGGTAAGACAATATATTTTTCTTTATATATGTTTGTTGTAGCTTAAGGAACCTGTATATTTAAAAAAAAAAAAAAAAACCAGAAAAAAAAACAAAAAAAAAAAACAAGCTCTGCTTTCAGACTTCTTCTGATGAGGTTAACCCATGGTATTCAAGGAAACTGAAGCCCTGCACGTGTGGATGTTTCAGGTAAATGGGGAACATCAGACCCACGCGGTGTTCCTTAATAAAGAGCCTTCTGGGTTTGCTAGAAGATTGGCTAAAACAAAATCTCCAAATAAAATGCGTTTTTTTAATTTAAAGCAATGCTCTACAAATCTAAAGTTATTGAGTAGAGTGGTGTGAATATTGTCTGGCCAGAATCTCAGTCTAACCTACATTTTTGAGAAGATGCAGTTAGGAGAACATAGGGTGGCTTGTTAATAACATATTGTAAGACATTGAGAGCTTTGAAACCATATGCCAAGAGTAAATAGATTAAGAATAACTGTGAGGCAAATAGTAAAAAATAGCTGCTGAAAACAATTTGCATGGCCTCATGTCACCTGTGTGTGAGAGGCTGGGGATGAATGCTGCTTAATAAGCCCAGATCCCTGTGGTTTCTCCACGTGCTGTTTTTGTTCAGAGCTCTGTTTTCCATGTTATGCCTATTGATCATTTTGCAGTAAAATTTGACTTTTTACTATAAATAGTGTAGTATTTAATAATATGGGCTGCAAGTTAGCCTCTGAGTGAATAAGCTTCTTATATAAGCTATGAGAGTGTGACTTCACCTCAAATGTTCTCCAATGTAATGCTAGAATTTTTTCCTTTCCTAGCCTCAATGACTCATGGAACATCTAGCCTAGAAATAATTTCTAATTGATTAGTTGTTGTTACTTATTCTGATATTTCTGTGCAACCTAATGGGAAAACCGTTGCTGAAGTGTATCCATCCATTGTATTTAAGGTTAATGTTACTAGCAGAAGCTGGACTCTCTTTATGAAAGACTTTGGCCTTCAATCAGTACTAGCCTGTATTTCACTGTATTTCAGATGTTTGAAGCTGTTAATTTAGGGTTCTCTTTGAACATACTTTTTACTGTGTAGAAACTGGTCATTTTAGTTTTTAATGTTTGCTGATACAAAATCAAAATGTGTGGGGTTTTTTTTTTTTTCCCTTTAATAAACACCATCCTGGCATGATTTAAAGCTGGACTGTCCAAGGTAATACTAAGCTCTAAAGTATGGACTTCAGCCCAAAACACCAGAAGAGTGTCTGACACATTTAGGCTTAATGTCTTAATGGAATTGAAAAAAGTCTGTCTTATTCTATGTGTTATATGCATTTCTTTATAGTGATACAATTTTGTGCACATCAGGTCAAACAGCATTTCACCTAGAAAATATCTTTTACATAAAAAAAAAAAGCCCTTCAGAAAAATTTTGTTTTATTTTTTTTATCTTCAAGCCATGAACCTACTTGTCTAACGCATAATAAAACAAAGGGAAAGACATTTTAGAAAGGTGCTTTATTTTGGGCAAAAATTTACTTGTTTATGCCAGCTGGTGTTGTGTAAATTCTCTTTTATGAGCAGATTTACTGCCATTTCTGAACTGAATAAAGAAGAGGAGATGAAGCCTTTTTCAGGAATTATGAATCATGAAACTTCAATGTTAGTTATACATCTGGGTGGAATGCATTGGCATTTTGGTCTGTCTATAGTGAAAAAGTGCCTTCATGAAGATAGACTCTGTACAACAGTATCTATTGAAAGAAATAAGTGAAAGGAGGGAGTAAAGAACAAACAGAGAAGGACAAGAGGGATGTAAGAGAAGAAGAATATATGAGGAAAAATACAGAGGGAATGAGGAGGGACATGGTAGTGGAAATGTGAAATAACTCTCCTTGTTTGCAGCTCTCYTCCTTCACTGAAATCAATAATATCGAGGACTTTTTGTTAGTGTTGCTTTATAGTGCCCTAGCAATCTTTGGAGAAAAATTTGTCCTAGATTCCTGATTTAAATATTCAGAAGGCAGGCATTGAAAATTTCCTACTCCATTGCCACCCTCGATTCTGTCCTCCCAACATTAGTGGGCAGGCTCAAGAACATCCATGGCTACTCCTAAGGAATGTGTAATTTCTTTCTTGGTAAGACTGGTCATATTGAGTGCCTGTTCGTGATTTATGCCAGCTGTCTGCTACAAAGGTGCAGAGGCATAAACTTGCTTCTTCTATTGAAGTGATTGAAGCTACAGATCCCAAATCTGAGTTGTTTGAACCACTGGGAAGAGCTAGTAAGATCTGAGGTCAACAGGAATATGGAAAGGTAAAGTTCATATCGGCTTCTGTCCTATATTATAACCTCAGACTTACAGTTTATGGAAAGAACCTAAAGCAGCTATAATGAAAGCTTATGGCAAGTAGGAACTCACCTAAGCAATGGGTTTATTAATCKAGAGAGTGAAAACACCTGCTTGATCATTCTGGGATTCCCACATTTGGCTGAAATAGTCACAGATTATATGTATTTTAGGCTCAGATGTTACTGGATGCTTTTGTGAGTTATACTGGTATTTGCTTTACAAAAGTGCAAAATTATTTCTTCTAAAACAGTGGAGTGGTGTTGTCCCMACTGTGAACAGAATCAGATCTTCTTATATATTGAACATTTTACCAAATTGCCATTTGAGAAGCCTGCTGTCTAGTGTTTTGCTAAATAATTTGGACATATGGTGCAATTTATGATAAGGAAGAACAACAGAACATACCTTGATAGAAAAGTACTATGGGTTTTTTTTTGTTATTTGTGTGTAGTTTTGTGCATCAGCATCTGGGCTGCTTTGGATTCCTTGTTTTATGAGTATTTAGCTTGAGTTCTGAGCTTGTTTTGCTTTTTAATGTGTGCCTCAAGATAGAATGTAAGTGAAATTTAAGGTAGCAGCAAGCATACTTGATCAGCATTTACTGATCAAGTAAATACGGCCGTACAGCTTGTTAAATAATGTGTCAGAAAGCAAGGTTCTGATTTAGTACACTGATGAAATTTCTTCAAATTATTTTGATGGGTATTTTGATTTGGTCATGCTTTGTATTGGCTCAGATATTGGTTAGCATGAAGCCAGAATAAACTCCTGCTCAGGTGTCTCTCATTAATGCAGTAGAAAAGAAGTTATGTGCCCATGATTTATCTGAATCAAATCTGTGTTGGATGATCTGGTAGTATGTGGCTTCAGTACAACTGATGGCCAAAATAATCATTGTGACCAAAGTAGAATCTGAGCTCTGTTCTGACCTTTAGCGCTGCTGTGGATTTAGAAGCAAAGTTTGCATAATTCAGCAAAACTTCTGTGTGGAAGAATAGGAATCTAAGCAAGGGAAGGAAGAGTGTTATATGTGYTATGTAAACTAAATGTAAGATTTGCTGTCTTGACTGTGTCCCCTTAAATTCCTGTGTGGAATATTTACTCTCTTCACTGAAGCACAATAATTCATGTATTTCTATCTACACAAAGAACATGACTCTTGAGCTTCACCATGAAACTAATATTACTATATTCATGCATGGAAGTCTTTGATGCTTAGTATCTGTGTGTGAAACTTTCCATTGTTTAGATAAAAGACGTTTGCCAACTACTATCTTGCAGAAAAATTCTGAGTTCCAGACATCAATAAAAGCTCTCTTTGTCATGCTATGTGAGTGTTATTTTGCTTTGATTCCTTTAGTTGTACCTTTAAAATACAGCAGATTTTTTTCAGTACAAGGAAAACAGCCAGACTTCATACAAAGATTTGGACATACAACTCTACAAGAAGGGGAAGATTTAATCCTACATTGCAGCATATATGGAAGACCCAAACCACAAGTCTCCTGGACTAAGGATGATATTCCAGTGACAGCTCAAGGAAGCATCAGTGTATGTCTTAATGTTCTTGAAATATTTCTTTGCAGGAAGATAATACATTTTGAACATGCTACTAATAATCTCCTATGTACATTCTATTCTTTTACAGATTGAGAAATTAGGAGACACCTATTACCTCTTAAAAAGAAATGTAGTCCTTGCTGATAGTGGGAAGTATATCTGTGTTGCCAGCAATGAAGTTGGGAAGGCAAACTGCTCAGCTTATGTAACAGTGATAGGTGATTCACCCTGGCCAGCTGCCTACTTTTAGGCTCATTACTATTCTGAATTAGAGACTTTTGGCCACTTACTGATGTGCATGTTTTGTTTCAGAGAAAAATAGCAATGCAGAAATTTCCACTGTAACTAAGACTAAATCAGAATGGGAGCGTGAATACCTGTCAGAAAAAGTGAGTGTCRCTACAGCTGAACTAGCACAAGCTCAGGACGCGTTTTACGTGAGAGGTCAAAGGCCTGTGGCGAAACATCTGCCAGTAAGGTAACTTGCAACTTGATCACTATCACATCTAGTTATACTGTAGTTGCTGTAATGACCCTAATGTATGAAACACCTGTAGAACAGACTTTCCAATCCTATTAATTTTTGAATAATGTAAATGAAGTGCCTAAGGTTATGCCTTTTGCAATTAATAATTCATCAGAAATTATAGTTCAGAATTCTCTTAGTTTAAAGACACTTGACAGAATTGAAAGTAGAATTTACATGGAATAAGGTATTTAGATCAGTGAAGTAACTTTTTTAATCTTGGTGTTTTACACAGTTCAGTCTTAATTTAGTATCTAGACTAAAGGCACAAAATATTCTGGAATTTTAAATGGATATAACCAGGTATTTTTGTGGTGTGGAGATAAACTTTTGTCATGGCATATGAATATGCTATTTGTTAGCCTACCTCAAATAGTTATAGGATTCTATGCACTTTCAAGGAGTGAAGATGTTTGCCTTAATGTGAAGTATAGACTCTTTGTGTGAGAAAATAGAATAAAAGGATTCTACACAGCAAAATTTGGATTGTAATTTGGAGTAGGGAAAAACTTGTGTGCTTAGAAACCAGAATTGCTGTCAAAGGTTTTCAAGAGGGAAAAAAGTGACTAATTCTACTGATAGTGTTTGTTACATGCTTGTGAAACTAGTGAGAATGTTCTATGGTGAAAACCTGGCTTCAAAATGACATAGTCAAGTGGAAAGTGTTTAGGCCAATGTAATGGGAAGGAGACTCAGTCTCATGGCTCTGAACAAGTAATTGCTGATGTGATCTGGAAAGGTAGTTGCACGTTATGGAATTGCTGGTCTTTCACTGTCTGTTTAAAATATTAATTTATGCTATTCACATAAAATTACCAGTTGTCTGAAAAAAAAAATAAATCAAAGCAGGAATGGTGGGGTTTTTCTTTTTTTCAAGTGTGGTTGTCTGTCTAGATAAAGATCAACTTGTAAAAGGACAGGAAAATGATTGCATATGTTGATTCAAAAGCTGCTCTCGCTTCATCAAAGATTTCTGTTACATCTTCCCTTGTGTTGGTCTGGAGTTTCTCTATCACTGAAAGAATGCAGGCATTCCAAAGCAAAAAAAAAAAATGCATCGTCATTTTAATTCTACACAGGGCAAAGGAACAATATCTATCAATATGAGTAAAAAGCACTGATTGTATAAAAAAGGTTAAATTTCACCTCATTTTTATTCATCTCTTGTATTATTTCTACCTAAAGCAGGTGATGGTTATTAGTGCTGGTTAGTAAGACAGACAAATTTTGGCTTATTCATGTCCTGTCCAGAATTACTATATATTTGATCTTTAGTCTCTTAGTACATCTCAGATATATACAACAACCTATTGCAACCACTGCAGTGTTGCTTATGAAAGGGAATGCTACATCTGCTGCTAATGAAAATGGATGATAATTGCCCCTTTTTTAACAGGTTTAAAGAGAATCTCTGCCTTCAGAGTGTCTATCTTGAACTTGTGAGGTCAGAAGAGATCTGCTTCAGTTTGGACTGTGATCCTCCCTTGGCTGCTACAAAGGATCAGAAGACTGAACGAGACACCTAATTTACTGCCATTGTCTGCAGTGTTCCTTAGTGGGATATTGGCTGAGGGTCAGGAGAAAGGGAATCTTTGAGTGCCATTCATTTTCATTTAGGTTATAATTTGTACTTGATTTCTCTATAAATATGTCATTAATAAAAATTCACCTGTGCACAACATTTATTAGAGAGTGATTTCTAGCTTTGTTTTATTCTGGATTATTGGATAGCTGTAATAGAGTAAAATGACAGAAGAGAGACATTAGCATTAAAATTGCTTGTTGGCTTATCAGTTCCTGCTGTTTTATTCTTGTATGAGTTTCATAAGTGCAATTTAAAAGGAATTTGAAGGATGATATACAAGCACTAGTGAGGGGGGAGGCAATTTTACTTCTTCCACTTACTATTCTTATTTTAGACTATGGAATTCTTCACACTAGTGTGTGTGTGTGTGTATATATACATATATATATATATATATAGGGAATTCAGACCTAAACATGGTCCCTGAACAGGAACTTGACAGAAAATGCGTGCAGTTGCTGCATATTACTACTGTCTAAAGGACTGGTCTATGAAATGATACACAAGCTAGTTTCAAACCACAGTCTCAGTTTAGCCAAGGATTCCCCAACTATATGGTTGCTCAAAAGCTACGTTTTGGTCTAGAGAGTCTAGAGAAAAGTTAACCTGAAGTTGAATCTTTTGGATTGTTGGGCAGATGATTAGCAAGATGATTTTTTTTTCTCCTCTGTCTCTAGAGCAGGACATTTGGAGTAGCATCCACTTGCTGATTGAAGAAAAAGTAGTTCATAAGGAGATTGAGATTGGCAAACACTTTCATGGGCATTGTAACCAAGAGAATATCAAGGTAGATGTGGGAATATCTATTCCTCACCTCAGCCCTTCTGATTGCAATTCTGAAAGTCTTTTCCAGACATGGTTCGTGTTAGCCGGGCATCCATTTCAGCACACTGCATGTGGCCTGGCCAGCACAACAGATGCATATCCATTTTTGCCAGCTGCCTATTGTATATCATTTTGTTGTTATTTATGTAAGCATTATATTAGGTTAGGCCTATGTTGGGTCTATATACCACAGGAATCCACTTGTATTTCTAACGCAGAGCAAATGGGCACAAGCAGTGCAGCATCTTYGGGCTTCCTCCAAGGTAAGTGTCACCTGTACAAAGTGGAAACAGCAATAATATACTGAGAGTTTTCTCGTTCGCCTAAATGTTAAAATCTGTCTAACAAAATGTGGGCAGGATGATAGAAATTTATATTTCTCTCTAAATTAAACTACAGGCCTAGTAGAGAGGAAGTGAATTGAAAGAAATATCATGTACATGTCCTCCCTGATCACATAAATCTCCTGCTTGACACTCTGGCAGTCAGTGGCATCCTGCCCACAGGAGAGTCACAAGGCTGTTTGTGTGCACACAAATATAGTAGCTGAAGACTGAGGCGCTTGCTCCGCTTGCTTACTCTGCATTTCACAGTTTTTTTTCCAAAACGGAATGGAGACAAATATCAAGCATCCTGTGCATCTTATATGATTAGATTTCTATCAGCTGAGTGTGCATTGTCCATTTTATTTAAAGATTTAAGAGAGAATAGAATACTCTTGTGTGTGTGTGTTTTTAATTTGTATTTATTTTCATAGGACTGGCAAATCAGGTGTCTCAGAACATGGAAAAAAAACATGGAAGATGGAAAAAGAATGTATGTTTATCAGCTGCACTCCATAAGTGTGGCATGTAAAATTATTTCTAAAAAGCAGTCTTTCTGTAGAAATGAAATTTTAGAATTCAGTGGCTGCTGCTCTTGATTCCTCAGCAAGCTTGGTTAGGGAGTTGGGTTCTTTGTCCTTTTCCTCTTGCTTGTCAACCTGCAAGCACAACTTGAGATTTAGTACTTGAGATGTGCTTTTTTTCCCCAATCTTTAATGTATCACAATTTCATTTTAAAAATTGTTAATTCTTTACTAAATCATAGATGAGGCAAACAACAAATTTATGTATATGTTCTTACTTATGGTTTGCTACAAAATTATTTTTATAAATAGGTAAAATATTCAACCCTCTTTTACAAACAAGGAGCACAACTATAGCTCCAAATGATCCCACTGAGTGGATTACTTACAAGGCATGGTATATGGTTTCCTTCCTTTCTGTAAGCCATAGATGCACATAAATTTGTATGAAAATCCTAAAAAATTGGCAAAGCATATATATTTATTAAATTCTGAGGACTATCTCCATCCTCCAATTAAAGGATATCCTCAATATTATGGTTCAAAATATTGTTTTGTGGAAGGAAATAGAACAGCTGGATATTGCTWAATACATTCCTTAATCAAGTTCTTTGATTTTGATGACTGGTCTATGCTTTTTTAAGTGAATTTCCAAGGAAATAATTTTTTAATCCCTTCCTTTTTCTGCATATATAGATGTAGGGAAATAATATGTAAATAATATATAAGGAAAGTTTGCAACATATGTGCTTTTATGTCGGTAAATTCTTGTCTGTGCTTCTTAGACACTTACAAAGACATGATCTGAATGGTGGCTGTGAAGTTAGGCAATACAGAATCTGATAACTATTCGGGCATCCAGGTAAATCCAGTTAAGATCCCAGTAAGTTGATCACCTGTAAAGTAGCTAAAATAGTTTCAAAGACTGCTGTTCATTAGCTCTCTAATACTTCTTGTGCTCAGCAACTAATAGTGATTTTTTTTTGGTAATGAATATAACAATTTCCTGTTAAGAACTTTTAACTTGTACTGAAAAAGATTAGTAGAGGTTGTATAATTAGTTGTGATAGCTCAATTAAGAGTTGTTAACATTTGAAAATGCTGCAGCTTTTCAGAAGCCAACTACCTGCCACAAATGCTGTTAATGGGAACGTTAACGCAGCTCAAGTACTGAAAGTTCTGCAGGTGTCCTTGCAAAGTATCATTTAGAGCTTTTGTGGGGAATTTTTTTTTATGCTTTGATTTCAGATGAGGATAAAATGGTTTGAAGCTTCTTTCTGTGCAACTCGCTAGTTAGCATGTTTATGCTCAGCACATAACACTACACTGATGTTCAGCAAGTAAAGGAAGAAAGGAAAGGTTGTGAATTAAAAAAGAAATAAAAATTTGAAAATGTCACTTCACAGAAATACTTCAAAACCTTAGTTAAACACTAATGTGAACATTTTGTCTCTAAGCTCTGATTATTCRATCTTGATCTTTCAAGGCATCTTCACATGAGCCTATTAAATTGTTTCTTTTGTGGAGCGCCACTCATGAAGTCATTGTTAGAATGAATMAAAGGGAATCACATGTAAAGGGCTTACTGTGGTCCATTCCACGGTGTTTCATTATGTTAAAAATTGCATTTCTCAAATATATTATTGCCATACAATATGAGATCTATACCATAATCATATTGTCCATGTACAGTTCATAATTAACTTCTCATTCTTACTTTACAATACAGTATTGTAACAATATTGTTACAATAACAATAGGAAGCAAATGTTGACATTTTAATAATAATTGCATTTTTGTCTGTCTGAAAAAATAATTCTCTATTGTTATCTTGATCTGACTTTTCCTTGCTCCTGGAGTAAAGGTAGAATGCGACATTTTCACCAGCAGTGCGTTTGCCATGCAGTGCTAAGACAAAAGCTACGCTTCTGGTTTATTTTGTAGATCTTATATGTGACTCTAAACAAAATCATGAATTTTACTGGAGACGATTCTGTTAACAGAAGGCATGCAGGAAACATTGATTTCATTTCTATATCAGACAGCAAAAGTAAAACATGGAGAAAAATGGAGGCAAATTTTTTAGGAGGSAAATAGGTTTAGCAGGTTTAATAGGTTTGTTCCCTTGCAGGAACAAACATGCTGTGAGGATAGCACTCATACAGCCACGGAATATTTTTTAATGTGGATCTTGGGAGCAACTGCCTGAAGTCCCTTGTTTGATATGTACTTGATTTAAATGCGAGTAATCTTAGCTATGTGCTTAAACAGTTTTCTAGGTAAGAGCAGATGTGGGGTGGCAGTGACAGAGCTGCAGTGCCAGTTAGAGACAAGAATAGTCTTCTGACTCGTGACCCCTGTTTCTGAGGGAACTTATCTAGCAATACAGTTAGCTGGGCAGGCTGAGGCAGTGAAAACACGTGAACTAATAGGCCCGTCCATGTCTAATTCACTCTGTGGTCTGCATGAGGCCTTACAGACATTGAAAAAGGCTTTCAGAATTAARTTCTGTGTTTCAATCAATTGCAGTACTTGCTTGTGTTCCTTTACGTTCACAAAGCTCACATTTCTGCACTTTCAGTATTATTCATTAAATTCAGTTCCTTGGAACATCCTTGGAACTGCCAACAGAAAGATTGTATAGGAAAACAAAAGAAAGTCTCAAATCTGTATGCTACCAGATATTATTTTACAATTTGTAATTATGGGGAAAAAATCWTTTAATAGCATGCCACCGAGCTCGGTTCACTTATTTTGTCTGGTGATTGACAGATGCACTTGGGGTTTTCTTGGTTATTTTTTAGAATATGAGAAAAAAGCTGAATCTTACTCATAGGACTACTTCTGGATTGCCCATGTCAAGTGCTAAAATTCTTTGTTACTTTTGTCTTATGCTTATGACTTAGGAAATTTGCAATGGCTTGGTAAAYTTGGCGTGATAAACCCGACTGAGCTATAAACCAGCATGTTTCTGGGGCAGATTCACATTTCCTCAGTGAATCCCTTTTGTACTTCCAAAATTAGAGTTGCCAGTCAAAGCAGCAAGTGGTGTATGATTACACGGAGTGGATCCCCTCTCCCAAAATACTTTCTTTTGGGAAACCAATCAGCAGTGGCTGTGATGTGACGCTGCAGACCTGTCAGCCGAGCTGGGGTATATAAAGTAAAACAACTATGTTAGCACTTCTGAGCAGTCGTGCATTCCCCGCCTCGCCTCGGGTGTAGGGATTGCAAAAAAACAAAACTACACTGTCACGACTGTGTAGTTTTGTTTTTCTGATTAGAGGCTCTACATTTCTCATGCTGGGATTGTCTAAAAAAACATACTCTGGATAAGGACGTCGTTCAAGAAGCTTTCGTTGGGCTTAGCCCACTCTTACAGGCAC